CTACCATCTGGGCTCTCTCTTTGATATCCTCCTAAGGCCCCTTCTGCCTTTGACCTCACCTTGACCTCTGATCCCGGTCTGAAGCACATGTGACTGTCCCGTTGCTCCTGCCCCCAGCAGTTGCCATCCCATGTGTTGCAGACGATGGTGGATTCATTGAAACGTGGGTTGAAATGCAGGTTCAGTTTATCTGTCCCCTGGCCCAGATTAATCACAAAGCTGCAGGGGAAGGAGTAACAGGTGAGAATAAGGGGCCAGCCCTGGCTAAAGCAGCTTGGGTCGCAGGGTTGACCACAAACTGGGAGAATCACCAAAGGTTGTGTTAATCGAGGTCTGTGCCTTAAAACAAGGGAGGTGACAACTTGATCAGACTTGGCACTGGAGTATCACATTCCATTTAGAGCACAGACTAAGGTTCCTGACAAGAGGGTAACTAATAGTGACATTTCAGGAAATGAAGGTGTCTATCCTGGGGGAAAGAATTGCTGTTCTCAACTATCTGAAGACCCATTAAGTTTGGCCATAAATAGTTGGACACCTAAAGTGGTGAGCTCCCTGTCCTTAGAGGTATGCAGTCAGGAGTTGTGTGATCTCTTGAAAAGATCACTACAGGGGCCTGAGTTAGATAGACCTTCAGGGTCCCTGAGAGTGGGATGTTCTGAGTCATGGGGTGCCTTCATTGGGACGTCTCATACCAGAGGTATCCCACATTTCTGCAACCCTTAGGGACCCACGCAGGAGAAAGGGGTGATTTTCTCTTGGCTCCTACACAATGCGTCTGTCTGCCCTTCCCCAACCAAAAGTTGATGGAGATCAGTCCCAAGAAATGCTGACATTGTCCTGCACACAGGAGAGGCTAACGCTGAGCTGTAACACCTGAGGCGGAGAAATGCCTCTGATTCTAATGGAGAGAAGGCAAACAAGACCACTTGGCGGCCCCTGGCGGCTGTCGCTAGTATAATGCGGGGGAAAGGCCAGCCTCTGACCCTTCAGCCGGGTCAAGAGGGTGGTTCCCCGGGGGTCTGGGCCTTCAGTAGAGGCACCTGACTCGCAGAGGACTGGGCAGAGCTTCAGGGATTTCTCACTTGCCCCTTCAGCGTCTGTTGGGGGCCAAGGAAACTGAGCACATGGCATCCGCTGTGAATTCTGAAGCCTCAGATGTGAAAGCAGCCCTAACAGAAGAGGAGCCAGCAGGGGTGTGGGAGGGGGTGAGAGCATGCAAGAGTGTACAAAAGGCCCCTGGTCTGAGGTCACGCTCGTTGTCCGACCATTTCACAAGGCTGCCCTTCCCAGACTGCTCCAGGGCTGTGGGCAGCCCCCGTCCCCCTCCTGCCTCCCCCTCCCCCCCACTGGCTCACCCATCAGCATGTCCTGCCTCCCCCTCCCCCCCACTGGCTCACCCATCAGCACAGTCTGCGATCTTGCCCTTGATCTTCAGTGTTGTCCCCATCTTCACGTCCATGTTCATAATCTCAAATTTCCCCTGCACCAACAGAGAAACAACCCACACAAATCAACCACACGCGTGCCCGGCGCTCTTCTGCTGCTGAAGCCCGTTCACCAGCATCATCCCATCCCAACCTGGCCCCAGGCCTCACTCTCCCTCTGCCCACATGAGAGCACGGAGCTGGGAAGGGAAAGAGCCAGAGTGCTCAGATCAGAGCTTCCCGGAGCCCCTCTCTTGCCCATTTTGCTTCACTCTCATCCACAGCAGCCTGAAGAACAGCCAGATCTGGAGACGTAGGGCCCAGCTGAGGGAACCTCAGTTTGCCCATCTATGAAATGGAGAGAATGACTACTGCCCACCTCACTGTTCCCAAACGTGTTCAAGTGATGATGCACAGTGCCCTCTGCAAAATCCCCCAAACAAGGATATGCTTAGTTCTTGCACAAACTTGGAGTCATTTTACTGACAGCAAATGACGGTATCACAGGCAGGTCTAGGCCCATCCCAAATGAAGAATCTAGAAAGCTCCATAAGTCACATGTCTGAACATGTCCATCGAAATCCCTCTCCATATCTCGCTTTCCTCATCTATAAAATGGGCTAATTTGATTTATTCGCTCAGAACCAGTTGCCGAGCATCCACTGTGTGACAGATGCTGTTGGAGGCGCTGAGGTTAATAGCGCCTCCGTTGAGCTGGTTGGGAGGATGAGCACTCACGTTTGTGAAGCCCACAAGTAGGGCACAGGCTAAAAGCAAATCAAGGGACTGTGGTCATTATGCTTATTTATTGCTACTACAGTATCCATCGACCTTGGCACTGTCTGAATTTCCATATAACAGGGGTTCCCACAACTTTACTACGGTTAGAGGGAGGCTCTCGAAGCTGGGTTTTCAAAGCTCATTATCCCAGCCTGAGAAAATGTCCAGTTTTCACATCCATGGTTGGAGGGTGTGTGGTTAGGCCAGACAGGATATAGCAGCCACCAAATATTTAGAACACTTTATGGGAGAACACGTTTACATTGTGGGATTTCTGTTCACCGATTTTTTTTTTTTTTCTTGAGGGAGCACACCTGGGAAGCCCTGAACCAACTCATGGGACCAGGGCGCTTTGCTGAAAGTCAAGGGCGGTGTCCGTGGGGGGAGGATCAACATTCCCCTGGTGGCACAGGGGTAGGGTTGCCCAGTTCTCCTGGAGGCAGTGCCTTTTAAAAGGAAGGCCTGAGGGCTTTCCTGGTGGCGCAGTGGTTAAGAATCCGCCTGCCAATGCAGGGGACACGGGGTTCGAGCCCTGGGCCGGGAAGATCCCACGTGCCCCAGAGCAACTAAGCCCGTGCACCACAGCTACTGAGCCTGCACACCTGGAGCCCGTGCTCCGCAATGGGAGAAGCCACCGCAATGAGAAGCCCATGCACCACAATGAAGAGTAGCCCCCGCTCACTGCAACTAGAGAAAGCCCGCACGCAGCAATGAAGACCCAACGCAGCTTAAATAAATAAATAAATAAAACAAATTTTTTTAAAAAGGAAGGCCTGAAAGAGGCCTTGCCAAGCCCAGGAGAGTGGAGCATCACAGCACGTCAGACCCTAAGATGCCTCAGAGCAGGGTTTCCCAGCCTCGGCACCCTGGACATTGGGGCTGGATCACTCTTGTGGGTCTGTCCTGTGTGCTGTAGGTGGTAGAGCAGCATCCCTGGTCTCTATCCACCCGGTGCCAGTAGCACCCTCCCCTCAAGTTGTGATGACCAAAAATGTCTCCAGACATGGCCAGACGTCCCCTGGGTGGGGGGAAATCTCCCTGCCTTCGAGAAAGTGGGATTCGGAGGCAGGAGACCTAACTCCTCAGATGGGCGCTTAGGGTAACAGCTGGATCACCGGCCAGACTGGATTAAAATTCTCCTTCAGCCTCTCACAGATAGACAGAGAATGCCTTCCTTAGAGAGGTTATCCAGTCCGTCCCAAAGAGGAACATGGGCGCCCTGCCGCCAAGCAGACCCTCACAGCTGTGTGCCCTGCGGCATGCACAGTGCCCACCAGATGGCGTGAGGACTCTCCTGTCTCCTCCTAGTTGCACGCGCCACCCACCAGGACCCTGGGACAGTCAGGGTGGGACTGGGATGGGGAGAAGCACCCACCCTGCCCCTGTACATCCTGCTGGCTGCCCGGCTCAAGCAGAAGAACCCGAGAGCCCAAGGCTGCTGCAGGGCAGGGGCATGAGAAAAGCCGGGCTCGGGGTGTATCTGGACAAACAGGGATGCCCATGGAAGGGGGCCTGACCCCCTGCTTAACAAAGCCTGAAGCCCAGAGAGAGACAGGGAGGCAAAGCTGGGGTCGGGATGGGGGCAGGTGTCAGGGGTTGGGATCTAGTGCCAGCTCTGCCCCTAGCTGGCCAAGTGACTAGGGGCCAGCTGTGCCACCTTCCGAACCTCGGTTCCCCCATCTTTAATATAAGAGGTTTGGACTAGGTGGTCTCTGAGGAAGGAGGAAAAAAAGGGAGGGATGAGATGAGCAGGGGAAGGAGAAAGTAGGGAAAGTCTCTGGGCACAGAGGTCTTCCCTGGGAGGCAGAGGGTGGGGAGAGCGCCCTGCCATCCATGCTGGACCCTTCAGTCACATCCACACCCTGCATCCCACCTGTGCTGACTTGAATATTGTCTCCCGGAAAACCATGTCTACTCGGAGCCAGTGAATGAGACCTATTTGGAAATAGGGCCAAGTTGAGGTGAGGTCGTAGTGGCTGAGGGTGGGCCCTAAATCCAATACGACTGGTGTCCTTATAAGAAGAGGGAAATTTGGACCCAGAAACACAGACACACAGAAAAGACCATGTGAAGATGGAGGCAGAGTTTGGAGGGATACAGCTACAAGCCAAGGATGGCCACAGATTGCCGGCAACCAACAGAAGCTGGAAAAGATGTGAAAGAATCCTCCCCTAGAGCCTTCAGAGAGAGCATGTCCCTGTCAACACCTGGATTTCAGACCCCAAGCCTCCAAAACTGTGAGACAATAAATTTGTTATGGCAGCCTCAGGAAACCAATTATACCATCCTCAGAAGATGCCATCTGTGATCCAATTCCCCAAATATGGGAGACTGAGGCTCAGGGAGGGCACCTTGTCAAAGCACCTTGTCCAAGGCCACACAGGAGGCTATGGTAGAGCAGGCTTTGCAATAAAAGAATTAGCGAGGGACCCCGAAGAACCTCCACCCCTGCAATTTACAGCTTGTGATACTGGGCAAGCTAATCTTCGAGTCTCATTTCTTCATCTTTAATAGGTTAAAGATGTCTACAGATGTTAGCAGTATTGCCACGATTAATATTTCTAATGAGAGGGAGTTCCCTGGCGGTCCAGAGGTTAGGACTCCAGCGCTTCCACTGCAGGGGGCCCCGGGTTTGATCCCTGGTCGGGGAAATAAGATCCCAGAAGCTGAGGGGGATAGGCCAAAAAAGAAAATTACTGATGAGAAAACTGAGGCTAGAGGGGGAAAGAAACAGGCTAAGAACGGTGGTGGAGGGAGCAGAGAACCTTGGTGCTAAAGGGCTGTGGAGGGACTTCCCTGGTGGTCCAATGGTTAAGACTCTACACTACCAATGCAGGGGACCTGGTTCGATCCCTGGTTGGGGAACAGATCCCACATGCCCACAACTAAAAATCCCACGCGTGCAGCAACTGAGACCCGGCGCAGCCAAGTAAATAAATAAATATTTTTTTAAAAAGGGGGTGGGCTGTGGAGGTGATCTGTCCAACTTCCTCAGTATACAGATGAGGAAACAGAGGCTGGAGGGGCAGCGATGCTCTTCCGCCAGCATCCACCCCACCCCCACTCAGGCAAAGAGGCAGAGGGTTGGAGGAGGTGAGCAGTGGGGAGCCAGCATCCTCACCGACATGGTGGCAGCTCCTGATGGCAGCTCTCGGTGGCTCCCGGAGATCTGGGCTCAGGGTCTCAGCTCACAGCACAGCTTATATCCTAGAATATTACACATTAACTCCTCCAAGGCCATAAATGATGACTTTGGTCCTTTCTGCCAGGGTGTCTCTCCACCCGCATTTCCTGGTACCCAGAACAAACAGGCAGAAGGCTCCTCACCCCGGCCCAGCCCACTCAGCCCAGAGCATCCTCCTGGCCTCCCTCCAGCCCAGCTTCCCAGCCTCCTCCCAGATCTCGAGGGCATGTGAACCCAGAAGCAGCGCTGAACTGGGCACCAGGAGCGGGAACAGACCATGTGAGCTTGGCAGGCTACCCAACAGCCCTGAGCCCCACTTTCTCATCCTTAAACAGAGATTTGTTGGTAAAAATCTCTATACTTTTATGATGTCCAGATTCATTTTGAGAGTCTTTTGTTTTCTCCCCTCACCTCATGATTTTTCTGATTGTCTGTGTAAGTTTTAAAAGCAATACATGGTGGATTCAAAGAAAACATCTAGAAGTATCAATAACAAACTAAGTGGGGAAGGGAGTGGGAGGGCTGGGGAGGGTGGGGTGGGTAATGGGATTTCCCTGCTCTGCTCTTTACTCCTACTACTTATGTAATTGACATACGATCAGTCATAATCCCACCGCCAGGATGGAACCTGATTTTTTTTTTTTTTTTTTTTGCGTTACGCGGGCCTCTCACTGCTGTGGTCTCTCCCGTTGCGGAGCACAGGCTCCGGACGCGCAGGCTCAGCGGCCATGGCTCACGGGCCCAGCCGCTCCACGGCATGTGGGATCTTCCCGGACCGGGGCACGAACCTGTGTCCCCTGCAACGGCAGGCGGACTCTCAACCACTGCGCCACCAGGGAAGCCGAACCTGCTTATTTTATTGGCACATTTCCTTCCACGCGGTTTTCAGTGGATTTATATCATAGACACACGCTGTCTATTCAATTGTTGATCCTGCTTCATTCAGTAAACATTAAAGCCCACAAATCTATATTTCAGAACTATATCTTAATGGCAGTGAAATACTCTACCTTTCAATGACTAAATTTATTCAACCTATTTCCTTCTGCCGAACACTTACATTAATTCCAAGTGTTTGCTATTAAAAATGCTACTGCATTCAATTATTTGCACATAACTTCTGGCAGCATCATGACAACTTTTTTAAGGCGGATTCCCAGAAGCAGAATTTTTCTAGAGCCCTGGTCTGGCGAGCTTGAGAGTTTTCCATTAGAGCTGGTGGTAGCCACTCTGGGTGGGGTGCTGGTGGGCCAGGCCTGCTGAAGGCCCTTCTGTGCCAGGAGCTGACAGGTGGCTCACTGTGCAGCACTCACAGAGAACACGACATTGAGTTCCCGGCCGCCCCAAGACGAGAGTGATTTCCTCGCAAGGAAATTGATCCGTTCTTGATCTTTCTCCCAGGGCCATTGTAAAACCCAAGCAAGATAAGGAGTTGAAAGGGCTTCATAAACAGAAACTCTCTAATGAACAGAAACTACACCTTGTACAGGTGACATTTTTCTGATAATAGTAGTAATTCTAGCCCACTGTGGAAAGTACAAAGAACTTAAAAGTTCACTTGTTTTAAAAGAATGTTTAAAGACAGAAGAACATGACCACACTTATGAATTGTGCTCTTTTCTGTGTGTATGTTTTATATCAATGGAAGATTTTTTTTTTTGCGGTACGCGGGCCTCTCACTGTTGTGGCCTCTCCCGTTGTGGAGCACAGGCTCAGGACGCGCAGGCCCAGCAGCCATGGCTCACGGGCCCAGCTGCTCCGCGGCATGTGAGATCTTCCCGGACCGGGGCACGAACCCGTGTCCCCTGCATCGGCAGGCGGACTCTCAACCACTGCGCCACCAGGGAAGCCCTACCTTGGTTTTTTTTAAAGAACCAGCTCTTGGTTTTGTTCCCTTCGTTATTTTCTGCTTTTATGCTAATTAACTTTTAGGGTTTTGGTTTTTTTTTTACTTTTTCTTTTATTGCTCTTTTTCTAACTTCTTGAGGTGAATGTTTAGTTCATTGACTTTTCATCTTTTCTTCTTACTAATAACTGTATTTAAAGCTATGAATTTTCCTCTACCTACTACTTTGGCCCCTTCTTGTAGGTTTTCAGATGTTCTGCTCAATATTCCAAATGTTACCCTTGAATCAAGCTGGATGATCAGAAAGTTGTTCTCAGCACTTAGTACATGCTTAATAAATATTTACTGACTGACTGACTGAACAGCAAAAATCATCATCATCATCAGGGAAGAGTTAGAAAGTGAAACATCAATACTACAGGATTGGCTAAGTTAATGGTGCTAAGAAAATATAAATAGGGGCTTCCCTGGTGGCGCAGTGGTTGAGAATCTGCCTGCCAATGCAGGGGACACGGGTTCGAGCCCTGGTCTGGGAAGATCCCACATGCCACGGAGCAACTAGGCCCGTGAGCCACAACTACTGAGCCTGCGCGTCTGGAGCCTGTGCTCTGCAACAAGAGAGGCCGCAACAGTGAGAGGCCTGCGCACCGCGATGAAGAGTGGCCCCCACTCGCCACAACTAGAGAAAGCCCTTGCACAGAAACGAAGACCCAACACAGCCAAAAATAACTAAATAAATAAATTTTTTAAATTAAAAAAAAAAAGAAAATATAAATGAACTATTACACGGCCATCAGAAATCACACTTTGAGGAGACCCTCAGTGGCCATGGTTCCTTGCTCATGGTACAGTGTTAAGTGAATAAAGCAGCTACAAAAGCAAGTTCCCAGGATTTCAGGATGGGCGCTTACAGATCTGCCTTCGCTGAATTGTACCGCAGGCCACCAGGCTGCACTGAGGGACGACAGTGAGGAGCATCCACAACAAAGCTGCTGGCATGTCCACCTCTGAGGTGCCAAGGAGGACATGGCCTAGCTGGCCACACAGGGTCCCACTCATGGAACACAAGCACAAAAGACTTGATTCAAATGCATGGGATTGAGAGCCCCCATAGAAGAAAAGTACAAAATAAAGCCAGGCCTTAAAGAGGCCAAGTCTAGTAGCGAGACAAGCTTGGGCACAGGAAACGACTAGAAAATAATTAATAACACCCCAATGGAAGGCTTCAGAAAGTCCCAGATTCCTGGGGCCGAGAGGGTTCTCCAATGTCATCTGGAGGTCAGTACAGCTCTGGAATCTTGGTTCTAACCTCTCTGAGTTCAGTCTCCTCCTCTGTAAAATGAGAGCAATAAGTGTTGCGAGGATTAAGGGAGACAAAGCCTGGCACTTCGTTAATAGTTAACAGAAAAGATTTGCCATTATTATCAGGAGCCCAGTGCCCTACCTGTGTCAGCTGGGAGGAAGGCTGCTCACCTCCACCTGGCGGCCAAGTCTGAGCCCCAGGCCTGTGGGAATGTTCTCCTTGCAAACTCCCAGGGCCCCATCATGACTTTTGTGAGCCTGAGGTGCTTCTGCTTTCATGGGTCCCTTCCTCCATTAGAAAATATATATTACATACACATAGACATAAACATACATATATTTAATTATATTTTATGACTGTATTGAATAAATATATCAATGTTACATATATTTTTTTAATAAATAAATTTATTCATTTATTTATTTTTGACTGCGTTGGGTCTTTGTTGCTACGTGCGGGCTTTCTCTAGTTGCAGGGAGCGGACTTCTCATTGCGGTGGCTTCTCTTGTTGCGGAGCAGAGGCTCTAGGTGCACAGGCTTCAGTACTTGTGGCGCACAGGCTTAGCTCTCTGTGACATGTGGTATCTTCCCCGACCAGGGATCGACCCGTGTCCCCTGCGTTGGCCGGCGGATTCTTAACCACTGAGCCACCAGGGAAGTCCCTCAATGTTATTTATTAAAACACTATTGTCTACCTGAAAGTTCATTTTCTCTTCTGATTTTATTTTTTTGGCCACACCACGTGACATATGGAATCTTAGTTCCTCGACCAGGGATGGAACCTGTGCCCCCTGCCGTGGAAGCATGGAGCCCTAACCACTGGACTGCCAGGGAATTCCTCTTCTGATTTTATAAGAGATTAAAACATTTTGGTGGGCCCCTAAAACTGTCTGGGCCTGAGCCACTGTGTTCTGCTGAGCCTAATGGAGAGTTTGGCCCGTGGCTTCCAGCAACTGTCACCCACCAGGCCTCCTGCTGTTGGGGGACTCTGGTCCTGAGGTCTGTGGGTTCCCTGCCTATCTCCTCTCCTGCCTTCTCCTCCCAAAGAACAAACTAATCAACCCATCAGTGATATCTGTCAGCACTTCCCTCCCTGCTCATTCCCTCTCCAACTTCCTCTTTCTGAGACCAGGAGGTGCCAGGACGGAGGGGGGCTCATGGAAAGCACCGAGCTCTTGGCATCGAATAGGCAAATACCACACCCTGGCTGTGTCACCTGCAAGCTGAGGAGCCACGTCAAGTCACGTCAAGCCTCAGTTTCTTCATTTGTGAAAGGGAGCTAATAGTATCTTCTTCACGGGGTGATTGTGAGAATTTTTGTTTGTTTGTTTGGGGTTTTTTTTGCTATGCAGCATGCAGGATCTTAGTTCCCCAGCCAGGGATCAAACCCGTGCCCCCTGCAGTGGAAGCGCGGAGTCCTAACCCCTGGACCACCAGGGAATTCCCAATTGTGAGAATTTTTAAAGATTTTTTAAATTAAAAAAGTTAACCTTTGTAGCATGTGGGGCGCATAATAGATGCTAAAAATTAAG